CTTGCAAAACTTATTTCGGAGGGGGGGGGGCAATTTAGTACCATTAAACCTGCTGAAGAGACTTCTATACAATAGCCAGGAACCTTGCTAATGCCCTTAAGTACAAAACAGTAAAGCTGCAGTCTCATCAGATACTTCATTTTTTTTTAAATACAGATGGAATTGCAGGTACATGTATTGAGATGCATACATAATACGTTACCTTATATTTCTGTAACATGATTTTCACCTCTAATTTTACATACTCAGTAAATTAAAATGGTATCAGATAAAAATATACAAAACACAGTATCACTATATTTCATTTAACCGAAAGCCAAGGCTTGATGTGCGAGTCAAAGACTCAAAGGAGGACGAAATGTGTGTGTAATCTCTTAATTTTTTGTCTTTACAAAATTCAGGAGGCAAAAACATGTTATGCAATTACTTTTATTTAATTCGTTTTAGACTTTCCGATGAGCATGACAGTTATTAGAATAATAATAAATAACTTAACATGCAACTTCTGGAAATACAAGTACTGTAACCCACCCACCCCCTTCCCCCTTTTTTTTTTAATTTTTGTTGAATGGGTTATTCAGTATAGGTCGACAAAATATTCTCATGGTGTTTTTGATAAATATCAAAATGATTCTTGAAGGAATCTAACTTGCGAAGAACAAAATAAAACACTCGCGGCCAGCACCTAGACAGACCATTTGACAGACTAATAGATTTATGAAAGTATCTTTTAGTGATCGAGTTTTCACTTGATAAAAAATACATATAAGCTTTTCTGAAACAAAAATCGTAAACAAAGATTTAAACTTCAAAATGTTTTTAATGTTATTTTTAATGTAGAAGAACTGCTCTCCTAGACGATAGAAATTGAGCAATGGAAGTCATTTAAGTCATGAGTCATTTAACGGAAATAAAAGCGCAGCACTTCCTTGAGCAGTGTTTGGTAAACCCCCCCCCCCCCGCCCTTCTTTTCCTCGGCAATTCTGAGTGACATTTCCTTCACAGGAGGCCTGGCAGGGATAATAGCTCTAGTAAAACTGATGAGTATGTTATATCTCTTTATTGCTACATGTATTCATAATGAAATAGATAGTTTTGATGGAAATGTGCTACATGTATTACACCGAATCTGTATATTTGAAGAATTTTTCCCCGTTAATGACAAATCTACTAGAAATTATAGGGAAAGAATGGAGCCACTAATAGTATATTCGGGGATATCATACAAGTGTTTAAAATACGTCGACAGTAACATATATCTTACTCATTCCATATACTTCGATTGGGGGATTTAAAGGGGATGTTGGGGAGGATGTCCGCAAACACCCCTACACCCCCCCCCCCTCACACAATTACACACAGAAACACACTAAAAATTCTTATAATACATCTTAATTTTGTTTGTATAAGACTCTATTAATAAAGTGTGAACAAAAGCATGTGTGGCTTTTGATATTTTAATAGAGAAACTTACGAATTTCACCGAGTATACCGGAGCATTTTTCCTGGTGGGGGTAGGTATCTAGAATTTTTTATTTTAATATTTAATATTAAAAAGGGGATCGTTATCCAATATCATATAAAATCGCTGGGGATTTATAGATATTTTAACAGAAATCCATTTGCTATTTGCTAAGGCACCTGTATAAACGATAAGAAGTCCCCCCCCCCGTTCCAGTCAATCCACTTCTCGTTAGTTCTAGATCATACACAAATCAATCGATAAAAGGGTTCAATACAAATTTATTTCGGGGGCAGGTGGGGTATCTCAAATAAACGGATTATCTACAGTATATTTACATGTACATCAACTGCTATCATATTGTATTACATGTGCATCAAGTACTACTATATCAATGCTGTCTTGTGGAGAATCGTTGTGCCTTACACCTGATTAATCAGTAATAATTTGTTTATAGTACACAAAGACTTCAAACTAATGTTTTCCACAGTTTAACTCTTTATTACTTTTTTTTATTGATTCATTTGTAAGATTTCAATGATCTGTTACAAATTATTGAGGGTGACGTCACAATGGCTCGAAAACTCTCGATTTGCACACTAAATATGCACCTCTTAGCTGGAGGTGAAACAAGTGGGCGGATCATGGATCTTCAATTTTCAAAGACCGATTTCTGTACTAAAGACATTCCAGTTTCCTTTCCTCTTGTGAAATTTAATTACCTGGTTAAAGGAGAACTTTTTGCAAACAATTAAAAGTACGTGTGTTGAACAACAAAGACAGTATGCCTTATATTACGCACAATGCTTAATCGCCATTTTGCTTTAGAAAAGTTCGGGAAAACAGTGTACCTGTGACGTCGTATTTTACGACTGTGACGTCGAGTAGTGGTTGTCTGCATTAGGAAGCTGCTGTAAATTTGGTAGTGTTTACATCGCTGCGTTTTTCTGGGCGTTTCGTTGGATTTAAAAGTTGTTACGGTTGTGAAAACATATGTAGGTGTGTGCAGTTGTCGTGCTGAATACGCATCGGTATGTATTTTCGTTTGCTGCGAGTCATTTCTTTAGTCGGGTCTTCATTCATGGGGACTATGAAGCCGTGCGTTGTTGGCGATGTTTAATGGATATCTACAACTAGGAAGGAACGTTCTGCGATAACAGTGGAGTCGTAGGATAATTTAATGACGGACATTCGATGGATTATTTTAATATCGCCGTCTGATTGCAGAAAACTGCAGAATTTAGCGAGAAAATAATGACGCATGCGCAGATGGGGGTTAGTCGTTTTTTGATGCCAGGCATCGACTAACCCCCATCTGCGCATGCGTCATTATTTTCTACAGATACAACACTAGAACACCAGATACACTGCATAAAAGACATTTACCCTAGAAATAATAATTATGACTGAAAATAAACAATAAAAATATGAAATTGGAACACAATAAAAACATGAATGAATAAAAATAAACAATAATTCAATTATATTAGCTTCTTATATACACACTTACCCATTTAGACAGTATCTACTACAGTGAAAACTGATATTTCAAGCAAAACTAAGTTAGTTTTCAGGCACTACACCTGATTTCAAAATTTTCTGAAAATCCGAGATTTATAATTAGTCTAAGATTAAATAATTCCCTGTTTATCGCTAATAAGAGAGATTAACATTGTTTTATGTGTAAGTTTTATCGCAAATAGTGAATATTTTATTGTTTCGTGTCATTCGTTAATGTTTAAAGCCTGAATTTTTAATTAAACAATTTATTTCCACTTGGAATTTCAGCGGCGAGAATTTTTAAAATGGATGCTAGAGGTTACGCGGCGCCAAGTCAAAAGTATCTCGCCGTAAACCTCTAGCATGCTGGAGTAGCGTAAATCCATAGTGCTGTTGTAAAGAAACCTTTCTGCACTTCACACTGCTGTTAACAAAGAAAGTAAACCATTACGAATTATTGGCAAGCGATACCATAGGCCTTATTAAAAAAACTCAAATCTATGATTATTTACTTGCATATTTGCCATTCACATATTGGTATGGTAAATCATTGATTCAACTATATACGACATAACATGTTCTTTACCTTTATTTATGTCTTCAAGTTTACAGGGAATGAAAGCGCTTAACTCGCCTCTCAAACTAAACAAATCACTAAATATTTATGTATTTATGCGTCAGGATCGCTTTGTTAACACTTCTGGAACATTCTCGAGTTCATTAATTGTGACATTTATAAACTATGTATACTCAGTCAATACATCATATTTGAATATTTCACACGTTTTTCATTGTTTATTCTTCAATTAACATATGCTATGTTTTTCATCTCTGTTATTTAGATCACTGGATCCACCTAGCATTCTTCTCCACAAGCATGGATGCTATTTATTTTTAGAATGCGTAATAACTATGCGCGACAAAGCAGTGAGATTTTCCACTGTCATGGTGGCAGTGGTTACCTGTCCTTGTAATTCCTAGCGGCAGCAACTGGAATCAAGGGCAGAGAACCAGTGCTATCGACAATTTTTACCGCCGTGATTGAATGTAAGGTCAGGCTAATAACAGGAATTGACCAGCATTATGGGGTTCTACTATAATCAGAAATACACAAACAGTAACAGATGTTCTATAAATTTAATTATTAACAATTTAATAAGTACAAATTGAAATTACACAAAGTAATTCCAAGAAAATAAATACCGGTTATAAAAGGTGTAACTAATATCAGTAATAATCAGTGGAAATGATACGCCCACTCCACAATACAGTACATATCGCGATACTTGTGTCACAATTCAATTTTTTCAATATGATACATTTTAAAAAGAAACAAATCATAAGAGTAAAGAAAACATCAGATTTCAAAAGGCAAGTAAAAGGTGGTGATACAATAAAGAGCATTACTCAATGTGCTTCTGTAGATTAAAAGAGCACTTTGTTCGTGTCAATACTAGCAATGGCAGCCTGCTCTGAAACTTTCTCCATCGCGATTTTCTCCCTCGTGTGTGTCGAAGTATTAAAATGAGGTCAAACCCGACCTATTTCAAGGAATAACCAAACCCGATTATAAAAAAACGTACCAAACCGAAAATCGAGATAGTGAATCGAACATTGAATCGAGCAGTGATATTGAACAATATCGATATTTTGGTGAATCGTTTCAGCCCTACTATAGATTCCGGAAATTGTTCATTTATTTGTTCAAACTATTGAATGACAATTACAGGAAGTGTAAAAAATGTTGAAAATAGTTAAACAAGGCATCCAAACATGCTTTATATTAAATAAATAAAAATTTAAAAAGTAAAGTTATATGTTTTTATAGCATATTTTAAAGAAATATTATGGAAATTCATTTGAAATTGTAGTAAAAATTTGTAAAAATATCACAATTTATTGTGATATTTTTGGGAAAAAATTGTGATATATCACAATACAAAACATTTGCCGATACCCATCCCTAATTTGCTCTGTACACAAAGTTTTTCTGATTTGATTTTCAATTTTATACCACAATGTGTCATTTTTGTTGCAGAGCAAATAAAGAAAAGCTATAGGAAGTTGGCTTTACAGTACCATCCTGATAAGGTGATTTTTTATTTGGACTTTCCTAAAAATTTTGTTCATTACCCTTATTTATTATTTATATTTAATTTATTTATATTTAGCTCAACTGGTCAGAGACCAGACAAACTTATGCTATAGTAAGGTGTCTGTTGTCTGTCCCTCTGTCTGTAAACAATTTTTCAAAACACTACTCCTCCTACACTTTTGGTCTGATTTCAATATAACTTGATACACAAGTAGCCTACACTAAGATACATAGTTCTGTTTATTGGTTTTTGATTTCGATGAACAGTGTTGCCATGGTTACTAAAAATAAAATTTTCTGTTAAATACAGTCTTGTTAGAAACTTCTGTTTTTCTTTTCTTTTCTTTTTTAGGTCACCTGAGTCACTCAGGTGACCTATTGCTATCTGTTTTCGTCTGTCGTTGTCCATCGTGCGTTAACTTTTGAACATTTTTAACTTCTTCTCTAGAACCGCTCAAACAATTTCAACCAAATTTGGTATAAAGCATCTATGGGTGAAGGGGAACAAAATTTGTGAATTTCATGGTCCCTGCCCCCCTGGGGCCTGAGGGGTGGGGCTTAATGCAATCTTTAAAAATCTTCTTCTTTACTCCTGGACATCAAGCAGTCAAACCGTTGGCATGATTGTAATAACCATTGAGCCCTCTACCAAAATTTGTGAAATTCATGGCCCCAGGGTCAGGGGTTCTGGTGCTAGGGCGGGGCTATATAGATCATATAGTGAAAGTGCATTATGTCTTTGAAAATCTTCTTCTCTACTCTTGGGTGTTATTGAAACAAATTAAATACATAGTTATGATAAGCAAGAGTGACTCTACCAAAATTGTGAAATTCATAGACCCAGAGTCAGGGGTTCTGGTGCTAGGGCGGGGCTATATAGATCATATAGTGAAAGTGCATTATTTCTTTGAAAATCTTCTTCTCTACTCCTGGGTATTTTTTAAACAAATTAAATACATAGTTATAATAAGCAAGAGTGACTCAACCAAAATTGTGAAATTCATGGCCCCAGGGTCAGGGGTTCTGGTGCTAGGGCAGGGCTATATAGATTATATAGTGAAAGTGCATTATTTCTTTGAAAATCTTCTTCTCTACTCCTGGGTATTATTTAAACAAATTAAATACATAGTTATGATAAGCAAGGATCCCTCTTCCAAAATTATGAATTTCATGGCCCCTGGATCAGGGATTCTGGTGTTAGGGTGGGGCTCTATTTATTATATAGTGAAAATGCATTTATGCTTTAAAAATCTTCTTCTCTGCTCCTGGGTATTATTTAAACAAAATAAGTACATTGTTATGATAAGCAAGGATGCCTCTTCCAAAATTGTGAAATTCATGGCCCAAGGATCAGGGGTTCTGGTGTTAGGGTGGGGTTATATAGATCCTATAGTGAAGGTGAATTATTTCTTTGAAAATCTTCTTCTCTGTCCCTGGGTATTATTTAAACAAATTAAGTACATTGTTATGCTAAGCAAGGATGCCTCTTCCAAAATTTTGAATTTCATGGCCCCAGGGTCAAGGGTTCTGGTGAAAAGAGGTGGGGGGGGGGGGGGTGCTCTATTGATTATATAGTGAAAAAGCAAAATTTCTTTGAAAATATTCTTTTCTGCTCCTGGTTAAAAAGCAAAGAAGCTAAGTGTATAGTTATGATGAGCAAGAGTGCTTCTTCCAGAGTAGTGAATTGCATGATCCCTGGGTCTGATGTGCTGGTGTAAGGGTGGGGCTCTTGATAATATAGTGAAAATGCATTAATTCTATTAAATAATCCTGTCTGCTCTTAGTGTTAAGCAGATAAAGTGATTACTTATGATGAGCAAACTTCTGGTTCCAGGGTGAGAGGCTCTAATGTTTCTTGCTGTGGAGGGGGGGGGGGGCTCTATTGATAATATAGTGAATCTGTAATAAAAATGCATTATTTCTTTAAAAATCTTCTCTGCACCTGGGCATATCAGAGGCAAAAAGAGTAAAAGTTTTAATAAGGAATAGTATTTTTACCAGATTTTTGAATATCTGGACCATTTGGTCAAGTGTTCTGGCCCTGGCCAGGGCTCTATTAATTTGTATTCTACTGAGAGGAGTTATTCCCCTTTGCCATTTACTTTTGATAATTAATCACTGTAAATAATGTACTTGAAAGGTTAATAGAATAAGAGAATTATGCAAGAATTTTTATTGTATAATACAAAAAGTACTTTCATAGTTTTTATGATTAGGTAGACTTGTAAGTAATAGATAAATAAAAATGAGACAAAAATAACTTGTCTTTTTAAATGTACATTCATCAAAGACTAAGAGAGGCCAATGTAAGAGATGTCAACAAGGAATTAAAATGGTACAGAAGCATTGATAGTTTGTTAATACACTGTATCGTGATAGTAATAAATGGGGAACAGATTAGAACCTAATGTATGAACTGTTAATGAATACTAGACTAATTATTTTGTTGATCCTGATCACCCTATTTTTCTTGCTTTTGGGCAACAAAGCTTCACCTTTCAGTTCATTTTATACTCTATGGATCCTCTAAATTGTTGTATTATACTCAGGTGACCGTTAAGGCCCTTGGGCCTTTTGTTTTTTTTGTTAGCCTAAGTGCTGTTCTGGAATTTGAATTATGGTTTTAGTGTTTTTCATTTACATGTATTTGTTCTTTTGCTGATAGAAATAGTAAACTTAAATGAATTGAGAATTTTCATAAACAGTGCCATATGTATTACTTAGTTTGTCATTATTTTGTTGGATATGTCTTTGTTTTTTAAATCAAGTTTCAAATTAAATAAAAATGAAATACACTTTACTTATAGAACCAAAGTGAAGATGCAAAAGAGAAGTTTCAGGAAATTGGATATGCCTACAAGTACCTTACAGAGGGTACCAGTATAATTAAATCCTCATACCTAAGTGTGGTGTTTCCAGATATCATATTATGCCATTGAAATTGTGATATTTCTGTAAGTTTAGATAAGGAGTAATGTTTTCATTAGTTATTTTCTCTGTTTTACCCACAGGACCTGAGGCTGTAGGTTTGCACGATGATTCTTCAGATGTTGGAGCCTTTGATGACACTGCCACGGTGAGTTCTGTCCTGTATTATGTAGGTGATTTATTATAACATTTATTAAAACAAAGAAAAACTGGAAACCAACCCCTTAATGTTGAAGTTGTGGAGGATTCCAGTGAGTGGATACTGAAAGGTACTGAAACTCTTTCTAAGTGAATCTCACATGAAAACTTTCAAATGGAATTCACATGAGGCCTTTCTGTAGATGTAGGATTCTAAGTCTTTGCCATTAGGGATATTTAATGAAATTTGAAAGTAAAATAACCTACTGTAATTTTCTCTTTACAGATGGATATATTGTTTAGGCTTTTCCCCTGGCTTGTTGGAGGTGGTAACCGTAAGTATGATTAATGGTAGTAAAGTAGATTACTGACATTCTGAAAATTTAACTTAACACTAATAACGTGCAGGAAACATGTTTAGACATGGTTATAATTTCTGTCTGTAGTAGTCAAAATTGTCACCATGAATAGTACAAAACAATTGAATTCTAACTGGATAGGGAAGAAACTTGGGCCATCCATAGGTCAATTATTTGGAAAAACAGAATTTGAAATTTCAAATTAAAATAAAGGATTGGCCCTTTTAAAATTAGAAATAAGCAGACAATTGTCCCAATGCAAATGGGATTGACAGAGCAATAATTTTTTGGATTTGATAAGATTGAAGAAATTGTAATTTTTTTCAGAGGTTTTAATTAAAGGGGACTAAACACAGTTACATTGTTTACATTATAATTTTTTATGCTTATTCAAAAAGTAAAACCAGTTAAATGAATTGAACTTACATGAATATTCTTGGAATTCAATGACAATGACATTCTTCTGTACATCACATCAAACATCCGTTTTTGTAAATAGAGCACAAACTCTGTTATTGTTAATGTTTACGTTTCACTGGGTGTGTTCAATTTGTTAACTCTGCAAACATCACTGAGTTTGGACTGACAATACTGGTGAGTTGGTTTTGCTTTCTCACATTTCTTCTCTGAATTTTCTGGATTATAGTTTTAATATTTTTCATAAATACACAACAACATTTCTATTTTTCTTAAGTATTAAGGATAAAGTTTACTTTGTGAAAGTGCAAGGATGTGTCAATCAAATGCGCCCTGAAATTCGTAGTTTCAATTATTTCCGGATCAAAGAAGCTTCTGAACATGCTTTTATTATATTTCCGTGTAAAATCTATAGCAACATACAAGTCCTGATATTACCGGTATACAGAAAATGTTATCTTCAAATCTGTGTCCAGGCCCCTTTAAAGGATAGTACATATATAATTAATCATAATTATATATTGTACTACTTTTGATTATAATATTTTAGATATTTTCTTATTCAGTCAAAAGGTTGAAAGTTAATAAAACATATTAAAGATTAAAAACTTTGAGGTCTTGAACAAAGATGTCAAAAGAGATGAAATAATCTGGTAAATGTACATATGTATTTTCAGAGAGAAGAGGTCACACTACATTTATGTTCTCCAATGGTCCAGGTTTCGGTTTTTCCTCCTTCACATCTAGTCCATTTCACTCGTCCTTCTTCGCTGATCATGATGACCACTTCCCGACATTTATGGAAGAGGACTCTTTTGGTATGAGGTCACCTTTTGACCACCTGTTCCACTTCCACCAACCAGGTCTAGGGGGACATTTTCATCGTTCCTCAAGGTCACGCCATCATCAGCATCCGCGAAACAGACCGCAGCGCCATCCTGTGAATGTAGATCATAGATCCACACCCAGACAAGGTAGGAAATGGTTTTGATAAATAAACACAAATAGGCATATTCCTAGACAAGATAGAATATTGTGTTGTAAATGATGTTTCACAGGCCTAGACTTAGACAAGGATAAAATTGTATTGTTAAGCAATGATATTTCATAGAGTTAGTTACTCCTAGATAAGCTACATCATTAAGTGAAAAAGACAAGTTTGAGGAAGGCACACCTAGATTTTTGCATCACTTGTATAAAGGTCAGGATCAGGGGGTGTGTAGACTGTGGATATAACCAATGCAAATTGATTGATGCAATAATTTAGCTATTTTTAAAATGAAAATAAACAGTAGGTAAATTGGAGGAAAACTAGAGATTCTGAGAGAGACAAGAGAAGTTGAGGTCACCTCCAATCTTAATAGGTTAAAATCATTGTTTAAATACATGATACATCAGTGTTTGACTGTCACTTTTCTAGTGTTTTTTTAATTACAGAATTTTTATGACGTCGAGCTCTTGGAGCTCGAACGTCATCTAGCAAGCGCCCAGTTGAAATCGCGACCGGATATGTACGCGACCGAATGTGTCAGTCGATGCATCCGCAATAGAAAATAGCAATAGCTATAAACCAATTTCTTTGAAAACGCTCAAAATGAATAACAGCTTGAAAATAAAATTGCATCAATTATATCTGCAATTAATTCTATTGCAAAACAACAATATTATGTTTTATTCTCACACAAGAAAAACGTGATGGTTGTTGCGGATGAATTTCTACAGAAAGGGTGCGTTGAATGACATGAATAACATTTCGGAACGATAACCGTGTAACATAAACAACACAACAGGAGGTAAAATAATTACAAAATTACATAAACACGAATACTACAAGACTAAAAAGATTGAATTTCTAAATCTTAGCTTTACTTATACAATCTTCTAACCAACTCTATCCTAAAAACCGATGATATTGACCAGTATTACTGTATTTCTCTATTTCCTCCATTTCCCAGTATACCGTATACCACGCCCGATCGTAACTCGATCGTAACTGTAACCAGAGACATATAAGAGAGGGACCGCTGACTCATTCGGGACGTTTCTAGACTTTTCACTTTAAGTTGGGTACTCTAATTCCGAATGGAAAAATGATGTTCCGATTTTCGCAGCGCCCTCACCGGGAGGCATAGAAACTATAAACAGTATGGCGTTTCATCATAGAACGGGTAGTAAACATCGCTACAACTCCGATTTTAAGCAAAATTTACTCGTGGCATTAATCGCAGGGGGATGAGTTACTTTCATTTTCATGACGACAAAGAATTGAGAACAAATTTATCTACAGTAAATAGATGGAATCGATCTTCTAACCCCGACTCGAGTTGCATTTTTTCATGATGGCTTGTCTTCTGTACAACATCTACAATGAGAAATACACTGTAATATGCATTTTATAGTGTAGGATAAGAAGACCTTTTTTGACGAGGCCATTTGTTTGCAGTGTTGGTTTTGCACTGGCATGTATTATTTTATTTAGTGGTTACCTATACATGCACGTAACGTTACGTGCTAGATTTCATGCAGCTAGGTTTGTGTATTTCCCGTATTTTTTTTTTTTTATATCGTTATATAAATATATCTGTATACATTCATTAAAATTAAAATAAAAAGTGCTGAAATAAGCCCTTTTTTTAAAATATCATATTGTGGTATATAAAATATATTATTTTTTTTTTTTATTATAACATATCTAAAAACACAAAATACACCATCATGAAACCAAGCATAAATTGTGACTTGTAGTCTAATCAAGCAACTCATACATTTTATCATTTACTGCATTTATAAAACATTGTTACAGGTGCCATTTTGCAAAAAAAAAAGTCAATTGCAAAAAAATTAACTAAAGTGGTGCTGATCAAGAAAACCCCATCACAGTGCACATGGTCTATGCAACTCAAGTACTGCTAATGGTTTTAGGAGCCCTCTATACATTGCACACCTTAGACTTATTATGTGGTACTTATATGCAGGAAGACTGACCTTCTGTTAGATCTACATTCTAATTAAAAATGAAATAATTTGAAGTTAACAGTATATTTATTTATATTAATCAATTCAAGCATTCTTAACATTTATTAAGCCAAAAATAAAATTTAATGAATACTTTATATACATGTATATCAGCCCTGCAAGCTGACACAGTTAAAGAATGTTTTGCCCATACAAAAACCCTGTATTTTCTACAAAGTATATTTATATGTAACAAACCTTTATACAATTTAAATATTCTGAATGTGAAAAAAATCATAGAAAGGATGATAAAGACTCTTTGTGAATATGTAGAGGTACTTGGTTATTATGTCCTTTATTCAAATTCAAATGACAAACATGTACTCTTGCATGAGCATAACATTGTATATATATATATATATATATATATGTGTGTGTGTGTGTGTGTGTGTGTGTGTGTACTTGAAAAAGGTGTTCAAAAAAGACAAAAATATGTATTGGTTGACTTAATGTTTTATTGTCACACATTTAGGCCTTGTAGTAAATTCCAGTTTGTATACCTCACATTGAAATTTGAAATGTACATCACACATAGCTTTTCTTTACTCAGAATTTACAGTCCAAGGAGTGGAAAAATATGTGGAAAAATATTCAATCATTAAATTCTCAGAAGTCATAAAAAAAGCCTTTACAAATGTCCTTGACTGAAAATAGCTCAGATTTTACCATTAAAAGTTAAGGATATCATTAATTCAGTTGCTGTATTGTTGAAAAACCTCGCAACAGTAGTGCAATACAAGCCAATGTTTGTTTCAGTGGCGTTTCGAGTTTGGCCATGTTTGATGCAGCAGCATGGTACAATTTTAAGCTTTGCAGCTTACTAAACTACTATTCGTTGCCTTTTTCATCGTAAGATCTCACTTTAAACACCATTATAAAGCAGGTCAAGGTCTTTTGAAAGACAACAGGAAACTTTAGAATCTTGTAGAATCAATCAGTAGAGGTACCATAATATCTGAAAATAGGAAAATGCAAATCAATGAATAAAGAATTTAATAGCTTCATGAGATGAAACCTGGGTTAGGGCAATTGTATGTATATTTAAAAAAAAAAACACACACACACACTATAAAAGCAGTTTTAAAAAAACATTCTCCACCTAAAACAAGGGCACCTAAAGGCGGAGCATCCCCTCACAAAGAGCATAATTATCTTTAAATCATGGCAGCATTCGACATCGATCCTGATGCAAATTTAGATGTTAACAGTTACATGTAGCAGGTTGATATATTTTTTAAAATCATTGTGAAATAATAGAAAGAAAATTGCCACTCACTTAATAGATTTATGGTGGTAGGAATAAAGTCCCACATTAAAATAAGCATTCTGCATTTCCACTGCTGGCAAGCTGTATCTGTTGCTGAGGAAACTGATTTCATACCTGGAGATAACATGAAGAACCAATTTTCATAAAATTGAATAATGAGTATCTACATGTTTACATGATGTAAAAAAATAACATGCTGATTATTCACTCTTGGATATACAAAAATTCAATCACATGACAGACTACATAAAACCATCAACATTTAAGATAAAATAATACATTCCATGACTATCATCAGGTCTTATGTTGAGAAACTCTCAGGCCCCATAGGAGGGAAGGAATTTCAGTTCTGGGGACACAACCTATTTTAGAAATTTTGGTTGAGCCAAAAAAATAGTTTGTCTGACTTTAATTTAAATATTTTTTTAAGGGACACATTATAGTAACTGTACAGTAGTTTCTAATGTTAAGCTTTGTATACACTCTGACATGTAACATGTAGTATCGGGGGGGGGGGGGGGGGGCTTTCCCCTTTTCCAAACATACCCTTTTACACAACCTTTTACTGTTGAAAATATCCACTGAAAGCTGCCCCCCCCCCCTTCTCCATGAAATAGGATTTCCGACAATTCTACTCTTTTTTTTTTTTTTTGGTTTTGCTTGTCCAAGATTTTCAGATGTACCCCCCCCCCCCTTTTACAATGATACTTAACTACGTGCCTGTATACTGGCAAAATTATTTTCCCCTTGCTCACCGGTTCTTACGGGCCTGAGTCTACAATTATCATGATGATATATGGGAACAACTTTTATACAAGACAAAATTTTAACTCAAATTATTGTATCGATGTGACCATGACTTGCGTGTCAACATCTGATGATCTAAAGTTCTACGTTGTTTTTTTTTATAACTCGTTATAGCTTGAAAAATACATCTAAGATATCAACTTATGTAAATAGTAATTGACGTACAGGCTATATATAATAAAATATAGAATATAATCGCAATATTTACCCCAAAGGCTGCGAAGACAACACAGCAGCTGTTATGACAGGAAGTCTTTCTATGCCTCCCGGTGGGGGCGCTGCGAAAACATGAAGATAATTTGGCGCGAAAATGAGTCAGCGGTCCCTCTCTTATATGTCTCTGCTGTAACAGAACAGTCTTGGTTGTAGTTTAGATGCAATCACTAATACAACGCTATGACATTGGCAATTAGAAAAAATATTATATAAATTCATGAAATCCTTCATAGTTCTTCAACTGACTGAAAAGAATTTAGCATAAACATGTTTGACGGTGTCTGGTCAATTCGCACCCTACTCCATTCGGACCATGATATAAGGCCCCAGACTGTAATTGTGATGTTTTGTTTAAAACTATTTTTTTTTATTATTTCTCCTGAGTCACTCACTTGACTTATTACTATCTTCAAATTCAAAATGATCTTTTGAAATTGTTTTTCTTCTTCGACGTCATTGAAGCCTTTCAGGCTTAATTGATTTATCATTTAAGGACAGTAATGTTAAGCTGTCATTGAACCTGTAGTTTTTGTTCAAATTCTACTTTTGTAGAACCTCAAACAAATGGAGGCAGTAGACCATTCCCGACGGAGGACTTCATTGAAATTTCTGATGATGAAGATGATGTAGTGGTATACACTTTTTTAAATGCCTGTTTTTGATAGGCTGTATTATGATATGGCATTTCCCATTAGTCTGCCTGTCCATTTGTGAGTTTTTCTGAATTCATGAACAGGTCATATCTGTCACACTATGATAAGTAGAACCATCAAACCATGTCAGTTGATGTATCAAGGGGGAAGGTGTGTTGCAATAATAAGTAGTTTGTGGTGACCTTATTTTGAAATTTTTGGCTCTACATGGACAGACTGTATTTTGATCATACAATTTGAGGCCTAGGACCATTTAACCTGGTCAGTTAATGCATCTTTGGGGAGGGAGGGGAGGGAGTGTATTTCAACCCAAAAGTAGGTTGTGATGACCTCATTTTGAAATTTTATGGATATCCAAATTTGAATTATGTTTGGGTCATATCTTGCATACTGTGAGACCATTAAACCTGGTCAGGTGTGATGCATCTTTAGCAGGATTTGACATTAACTTTTATGAGTACTAGAGCAGTAGGGCTACTTCTCAGTCAAAGTAGGTTGTGGTGACCTCATTTATGAATTTTTATAGCTGTACATAGTAAATTGTGTCTAAATCATATCTTGCACAGTGTAAGGCTTAGAATCATCAAACTTTGTCAGTTTAAGAATCTTTAAAGGGGGGGGTGGGGGGTGTCAAGAAATAGATAATTTTGGAATGATTTAGCTTTTCCCATTCATATCATGTTCTTTGCATATTTTGACTGGGTAAAAGACCCAGAACCCTCAAATTTTCTGAGCATATCTTTGCCATTAAATGACCTAGAAACATCAAACTTTGTCAGTTGATGCATCTATAGGGGAAAGTGAGTAGGGACCCAAAAGTAGGTGGTTGTGACATCTTTGTGTAATTTTATAGCTATCTATAGTCAAATTGAGTCTGGTTCACACTTTAACACTATGGAGCCTAGGACTGTCAAACATTATCGGTTGCTGTATCTTTGGGGGAAGGTGTGTATTGACACAAATGGACGTGTATATTGCAGGTCACTTTAACCCTTTTGGCATTATATGGGTAACCAAATTGTGATTATCAAACCTGGTCAGTGGTGGGGTATGAATAGATATGCATCAAAAAGATTTAGATGGGTGTACAGTAAAACATGCTTATAGTGAACATGCTTATAATGAATTTACGCATATAGCTAAGTGGTTTTCATTTCCCCTGGCTTTTAAACATTGTTAACTTTATGGTTATAACGAATTACGTTTATGATGAAGCAAAATTGTCCGTCCCTGGCACTTTGTTACAAGTGTGTGTATACTGTATATATACAGGTTTATTGAAGATAAGTTCATCATAACTTTTATATGTCCTGTGACAGTTTTCAGCTATATGTAACTCCTTACTTGAACACAACAACTGAAAATCAAATTTATTCTTGTTTAATATTAGTTTGGCATGAAACTTCAATTATATTTGTAAATCTAAAATTAGTAAAACTGATTTTAAGCTCACCTGAGCCAAGCTTATGTGAGCACTTTTGATTAAAGTTTGTATGTCTGTCTTTGTTAATTTTTTTATATACATGTATTTAATGACACTTATAAAACTCTTAAATAATTTTCTTTAAAGAACACAAGAGCTACAATTTGTATTGAGTAATATATTACCATACCCTTAAAGTGAAAATTCAAATTTGTTAAAATATTGATCCCCAGGGTTATGATTGGGCCACAATAGGGGTCAAAGTTTAACACAGGAATATAATATTAGGAAAACTCTTTTAAGGGAGTTGACTGGGGTTTATTGTGTGGAAAAATACAATAGAAAAACTCTTTAAACTTATATGATATGTAACTTACATTGTTTAAACTTATATGATATGTAACTTACATTGACTTCAGTGTACATGCCAAGTTTAGGGAAAATTTATATCTGGTTATTTTTAGAGACCGTCTCAAAATGCAGGTACATTTACAATAGGATTATACATGTATAGGAAAGTGCAAGTTTTTGCCCTTCGATCAAAGCAAATTTTACAATTACTTGTACTACAGTAGACTTTTTGCTGAAATTATAATATATGATGAGTAATACTATTTTGTACATTACATGTATGTATAAAAACACAAAATTCTATATTTCTACAATATTCAAGAGGGGGCATCTCAAAATGTATTAAAAAAAATACCGGTACAAAAAATTCCTGTTTTTATAGAATACATGTATTACTGATACTAATAATTAAAGAAAAAAATTCAGAAAATATTTGCGAGATTTTTATATTCCTGTGTTTTAAATTTCAAGAACATATATTTTATACTTTTTCTTTATACCTCTCTTATAGAACTCCAGTTTATCACTACATCACAAGCACACTATTATGATGTTCCATCTACCTATCAGTTGAAAAATCTTTTCAAAATCAGTTCTTTAGAATTGTAATTATATTTTTTAACCTGTGATTTCTTAATTTTGCTAATTTTGGTAAATTTTATAAAAATAATTGCATTGATAGAGTAAATACATAATTGATATTACTATGCTGCTCGAAATATTGCACAATGAAAACCCCAGTCAGCCCTTTTAAAATCTTCCCATGAACTGAAGGGCTACAATTAGTCATGTTAATTGATTGAACATCAGCATGAAGTGAAGATATATGTTTAAATTTTTTTTCTCTAGAAGAAAATGGCTACAATTCGTCATATTTACATGCCAGGATTCTCATGTTGCGTAAATACAAATTTTCTCAAATGATCCCCACACCAAGGCTAGAATGGAATCATGATCAAGTGAGGAAGGCTCAAAGTTGGACATAGGAAATTGTAGAAAAGAATCTTTATAGATCTTTTCAAAAGCATAAGGGCTAAATTTAGTCATATTAAAAGCCAAGCATCTTAATGTTGTGAAGATTAAAATATACTCCAAATATTGCCCTTAGGATTAGGAAGAGGTCACAACAGGGGGACAAAGTTTGACATGGGGAATATATGGGAAAAACTTTTAAAATCTGAAGAACAGCAGTGTCACAATTAGTCATATTGATATGCCAGTATACCCCTGTTATGAAAGCTTATCATGTCATCTGAGACAAGGATGGGCCTCATTAAGGGGTCAGTGTTTCACATGGTAATATATAGGAAACAATCCTTTGAAATCTTCTCAAAAACATGTCTGGCCAGATGACCCATGGGCCTCTTTCTTATTTTTGATAAGATTAATTGCTGATTTATATTTTCAGTTTCAAAGTAGCAGTGACGCACCAATGGGAAATTCTAGTGAAGGTGAGTGTTAATAAGAAAAATTTTGAAATCCACATTAATGATGTCATGACTATTTACGGGAACCCTTTTGTATAATGTGAGGAAATGCTTCCTTTTTGTTACATTGTATGAATGTTTAGAGATTTTAGAAGTTGATATGCATTAAGTAAGCATAAATATAATTCAGGCTTGATCAGTTGTTAAATTCACAGTGCCTATCATTGTACATTGATATACTACAGCTATAGGTCTTTTGATATAATTGATATTTAAAGAATGTTTTACTGGACTGTCATCAATTCAAAATGTGAAATTAAAGTTCTTATTAAGACTTAAACAGAGAAGTTTATTTGAAGGAAAGCCATTTCCAAAAAGAGGAAGAAAAAAAAAAGAAAAATGAAATAAGCATTGACTTTTGCCTGAATTGTGAATCAAAACCAGACACTTAATTGACACAATGTCTATCAATCTTTCATCTATTATGATTCTTACTATCTAGAAATCTTCAGCATTGAAATTAGTGAGTGGATTTCTTCTGTTTAGAGAGGGCCCTACCTCATAAAGCTGTCAACATTTTATTGAGAAATCATGAAGATGTACATTTTATATATTATTGTAGCTTTTGTATTATTTTTCAAATCTTGTGATATTATTTTTGCAACAGACATGTATTTTGGAGTGGCTTAGCCAGTAGTAAAAGTCAAGGTCAAGACTTTTAATATGTTAGAACTTAATACACATGTAACATCACTTTCAAAATATAGGCAGATGAGATGATTAATCAGATATTTAAAAGGAAATACACACCAGGGATAGACATTAACTTTCAGATTCATTTGCCCTTCGGGCAAGTGAACTCAAACTTTGACTTGTCCGAATGCAAAACTTGGTTGCCCAAAATTTAGAAAGAAGAGAACTGGTATCTTAATTTGTTATTGTAAATAAAGTGAAATATTGCTTTATATTTTGCAAGTTAAGTGCCAGAAAAAAATATCTTCTGCTCATGTTTCATTTTAAATATTTGTAAACACACACTGCTATGCAGCAATATTTCCTTAAAAATAAAATTCATATTTTTGAAAATAATTTTTTATGCGATCTTTTTGTGAATTTTGATTCCCCCCCCCCCCTGAAAAACTGAAGCAACGCTAAGGGAAAATAGTTGCCATGTTTCGAAACATACATGTCCTGATCAGAATACATCGTGCGCCACGAATAACTGGTGTTCTTTATATTCTGTGAGTTAATAAATAAACTATTTTATAATATCTTATTTCATAAGAATGTAAAGAAAGTTTTCAGACGGAAAGCGTTTTTTGTCAACTAGCTACCACAACAGAAAAACGGAATAATGAACCCGATTTTTTGATAAACGGTATGATCTAGGAATTTCTGAATGCAAAAACAATGTCATATTCCTGGTAGAAATCAAATGTTCAATTTATTGTTTTGTTTATAAACTAATGTAAGATTTTAAAAAATCTATCAGAAATATTCACTTGCCCGATCGGACAAGTACATCAGCAGTTTCACTTGCCCGAACTGAGAATTTACTTCCCCCGGGCAATTGGACAACCGTTAATGTCAATCCCTGCACACTGATTTTGAGGTCACTCAAACAAGTCAAAGGTCATGCAAATTAAGTCAAAAGTTCAAGATAAAGATATGTGGAAAGTACATGTATTAGGTGTTGTACTGTTACCTGGTTTCTTTGAATAAATACACAACAATTATGATTACATAACAGAGCTTCATTGTCCAGCTTTATCAGTTGTATTGATTCACAGACTCTAGTTGTCAATCTTGATGTACATATTTATTCTTTGATATTGATACAATTCTTCAGCTGACAGTAAAAATTCTTTTGGACCTGGGAAAAGAAAATCTAGAAAGAGTCTGTCCTTTACAAAGATCTTCAAACATTATTTTGGGGACTTGCTTAGGATTGAAGGTCACCTTTAAGTGTCACCTTTAATAATTTAAGTTGTTTATTTCACCCCCTTTTTTTTTTTTTTTTTAATTTTTTCAGTTTAAAACTAATGCATTTTTTTTTCATCACAAGCATCTTTTATTAATGGTCATTTAAACCATTGGCATGCATTGGCCACAGAGATCCTAACAGCTGATGAAACATTTTGAGAAAAATTAATTATTTATTTACTTTACTTAAATGTACCCAGTGTCACTTCATGTTTTTATGGTATTTACCTCCTAGTGTTGCTTCTACAAGTTTTATGATGTTTAATTGATTATGATTGTCTGTTATATATGGAAAAAAATATCCATATGTTTTGCATATCATTTGATAGGATAGCATGAAAAATAAAATAGTTTGCAATTATACCGACTGTTGAATTACCTCCCTTTTCTTATACTTGACAAGTGTGTGGTTATATGTAAAAATGATAAATCTAATATTTCATTTCTTGTTCTTGTAGGACATTCATTATTTTGATGTTTTTGGTCAATTTTTGTAGAACACAGAAGAAACCCTGATTATTTTGAGAAGTACAGACCTGATATACCTCTTAGTGAGAAGGAGGAGGAGGAAATGCTAAATATAGCACTAGAACTCAGTAAATCCGAACTGTCTAAAGAAGACAAGAACAACAATAAAAAGAAAGAACAGGAAAGTAAGAAAAACAAAGAGGATAAAAACTTCTCAGTCAAAGTATCAGCTGATTATGGTGCTGATGTACCCACAGGGTCAGGGTCAAATGGAGGTCAAGGTCAATTCAATGGGATGCCAAGACAGAGTAAAACTCGAGATGTAGATGAGTTCTCTACTTATGATAATTGTGAGAGTGATGATAATCAAGACACAATGTCGTGGTATGACAATATAGGTGGGTTATCCGATAACTCCATTCACTCTCCAATGACGGAGGTACATAAAACCTATTATGCTAAGAAGCACCCTAACCACAAAGATCACAAAGAGCAACCTAAAGCTGCCTCCAGTTCTGTTTCCCATAGCACCTCTAAGAAGTCAGGCCCCGCCCACACACATGGTGCAGGTAGTCGAGGGACTGATCACGCAGATATAGGAAGAAGAAGGGCTAATTTCCGGCATGCTGATGATGTCAGACATCACCAGACATCATCACATGTGCCTAAGAGCTCTAAAACAGACAAGGCAAAGGGGACTCACCACAAACACTGATGTAATGTTGTCTGAAATTGTATGAAATGTAGATTATTGACAGGGAATGATGCATAAATTATTGTGTTTTATTTCACAGCTGTTTTATTACTGGTATGGTAATTGAAGGCATTGGTTTTTATTCTTTTTGAGTAATGAGTGATATTTGAATGAATATTAGAGGAATTGCTGTTATTGACATAAAATTAGTTAATTTGTTTTAAATGTTTTTTGTTTCAAAAAATGAAAATTAATGTTCACTACCGGTATATTTTTGACAAAACACAACTTTAATATAAGCAATCCATGTAGATAGCACAATTCTGTCAATTTGTACTTAATTTATCTATTGTAGACATAATTGTGTGCCATAATATATTTGTTTTATTGAAGGTTGACGTGTCAGAGCAGCTTAATATATAATTCTTTTGAAGTTAAAAAGTATGCATGTATCAATCAAATTTATTTATTCACAGATATTTCTGAAACACCAAAGGAGTACTTATTATGTGTCTAATGCCTGACAAAATGACTGTTTTTGTTTTATCAGTTGATATGCGGGATGTTTAAAATGAAAAGACCTTAATTTAACATTTGTAACTGGAATGTGGGAAAATTCTGAATCGAAGAAGTTATATGGTCAGTAATTTTGCCTTATTTTGATAAGATTACTGTGGATCATCCAAAGTTGAGTTGAAACAAATTACTACAAAATTTAATACCTCTGAGTCAGATTTTATAAGAAAAAAGAAATAAAAATAATTCAAATGCTATTTGGTGACTAACATCTATATAAATATCAATAAACATGAACAATACATGTATCAAATCAAAGTCAAATTTTCTATTTTAGAAAGCAAGTTTCGTTTTTTTAAGCTATTGTAGGAAAAAATATTTATGAAATCTTTTTTTTATCAACAAGCTCATGTGAAACATGTTGAAATTGAGAATTTCTTTTAGAAATTTATTTTTATGCACAGATACTTCAACCATATCTTTTAACCTTTCTGATGCAAAATTACAGACCATATCACTGCGAGGTAAATCACTGTTGCTTCATTAAATTTGTTTGAAAATTCTTATTTGCAATTTTTTTTATTATCTTAAGTTTTCTATATATGACCCAGTGACGTAGCATCGTTTTTGAAAGTGGGGGGGGGGGGGAACCCGAGGAAAAAATTTTCAACTTACCTGAAAAAACTTGACAAGCAAAAAAAAAAAAAGGAAAAAAAAAAGGAAAATTGTGCAAACTCGAAAATCCTATAAGTACCAATTTTTTTTAGGTCACCTGAGTAAACTCAGGTGACCTATTGCTATCCGTTTTCGTATGTCGTCGTCCGTCGTTCGTCGGTCGTAAACTTTTGAACATTTTTAGCTTCTTCTCTGGAACCACTGAACCAATTACATCCAAATTTGGTATACAGCATTTATGGGTGAAGGGGAACAAAAATTGTGAATTTCATGGTCCCTGCCCCCCTGGGGCCTGAGGGGTTGGGCTAAAATCACCAAAAATAATGCAATCTTTAAAAATCTTCTTCTTTACTCCTGGACATCAAGCAGTCAAACTGTTGGCATGATTGTAATAAGCATTGAGCCCTCTACCAAAATTATGAAATTCATGGCCCCAGGGTCAGGGGTTCTGGCCCCAGGGTGGGGCTATATAGATCATATAGTGAAAGTGTGTTATTTCTTTGAAAATCTTCTTCTCTGCTCCTGGGTATGAAATAAAGTTACTAAGTACATAGTTATGATGAGCAAGAGTGCCTCTTCCAAAATTGTGAAATTCATGGCCCCAGGTTCAGGGGTTCTGGTGTTAGGGCGGGGCTCTATTGATTATATAGTGAAAATGCATTAATTCTTTGAAAATCTTCTTCTCTGCTCCTGGGTATCAAATAAAGGAACTAAGTACATAGTTATGATAAGCAAGAGTGCCTCTTTCAAAATTGTGAAATTCATGGCCCCAGGGTCAGGGGTTCTGGTGTTAGGGCGGGGCTCTATAGATTATATAGTGAAAAAGCATTAATTCTTTGAAAACCTTCTTCTTTGCTCCTGCGTATTAAATAAAGGAACTAAGTACATAGTTATGATGAGCTAAAGTGCCTTTTTAAAAATTGTGAATTTCATGGCCCCAGGGTCAGGGGTTCTGGTGTTAGGGCGGGGCTCTATTGATTATATAGTGAAAATGCATTGATTCTTTGAAAATCTTCTTCTCTGCTACTGGAGATTATTTTAACAAACTAAGTGCATGATTATGATAGACAAGGATGCCTCTTCCAAAATTTTTAAATATATCGCCTCAGTTTTGGGGATTCTTGAGGAGGGGGGGGGGGCTCTATTGATTATATAGTGAAAAAGTATTAATTCTATTAATTAATCATTAATTAATCCTGTCGGCTCCTTAGTGTTGAGCTGATAAATAAATTGCTTAGCTATGATAAAAATGGGAGCTTCGAACAGAATTTTTAAATCTTGTGGTCCTTGGGTCAGGGGTTCTGGCATAACGAGGGGGGGGGGGGGCTTTTGATAATATAGTGGAAAAGTGTTAATTCTTTGAAGTCCATAGTAATGATGATGAGGGTAACTCTTCCAAATTTGTAAATTTCTTGACCCTTGGTCTTGGGTTCTGGTGTTAGGGTAAGGCTTTGTTGAATCTGTAGTGGAAATGCATTGTACCTGTGAAATTCTTCTCTACTTCTTGGCATATCGGAAGCAAACTGAGTAAAAGTTTAAATGATATGAATAAGCGTATTTCTACCAGATTTTTAAACATCTGAACCATTTGTCTAAGCATTCTGGTCCTGGGCAGGGCTCTATTAATTTGTATTCTACTGAGAGAAGTTATTCCCCTTTTCCATTCACCTTTGATAATTAATCACTGTAAATAATGTATTTGAAAGGTTAATAGAATAAGATAATTATGCAAGAATGTTTATCGTATAATTAAAAAAGTACTTTCTTAGTTTTAATAATCAGGTAGACCTGTAAGTAATAGATAAATAAAAATGAGACAAAAATAACTTATCTTATTAAAAGTTCTTCAAAGACCATAAGAGAGGTCAATGCTAGAGGTCTTAATATGGGTATATAAATAGTACAGAAGCACTAATAGTTTGTTAATAGGCTGCATGGTGATTAGTGTTAAGTGGGGGACAGATTAGAACTCAATTTCTGAGTTAATAGTGAATACTAGACTAATTATTTTGTTGATCCTGATCTTCCTACTTCTCTTGTTTTTGTTCCTCTGCTCTGCCTCTGGGTATTAAGTAATCAAAGTAAGCATGCTAACCGTATAGTTATGATGAGCAATAGTGCCTCTTTCAAAATTGTGAATTACATGGCCTCTGGTTTAAAATACGAACCAAATTCAATTGTTGGAAAGTTGTTACACAATACTCAGGTGACCTATAAGGCCCGTGGGCCTCTTGTTTACTCAAACACTGCATTCTCCTTATATTACCCTTATTTGACAATACTGCAACCAAAAGTGTGTGTGTTGGGGGGGGGGGGCAAACTGACTTTCAATGAACATTTCCTATAGAAAAACATATCTGGAAAAAAAAGTTGGGGGGGGGGGGCAGTCCCTCCCCCTGCCCCCACCCTCCCTCCGATACTACGTGCCTGTGACCCGTAAGAAGCAATTTCAGTTGGGTGGGTGATGTGCACAACCAACCAACAAAAAAACACGCTACTTTTGAGGGGGTTCAACTGTAAATTAGCTTTGTATACCAGCAAAGTTAGAGGGGATGGGGCACTTAATTTGGCTAGAGTGTCAAACTTGTGATAAGCCGATTTTAACCGTACACGTAAAGTATAGTATAGGTCCAATATATCAAGCCATAAAGTATATATTGTATAGGTCCAATATATCAAAACCGTTGAAAGGTGGGGGGGGGGGGGGGTGCGATCCCCTCACACCCCCATAAACATGCTAAAAGAACTAGAAAATTACATTTTTGGTGGAAATTCATTGCAGCACAGAGGCCCGGTTTGCTGTATACTGGAGTACATGTAAGTTCAAGTGCCATATTTCTGAGAAGAAATGTAAAACAAATTGAATCGTAATACCAACAATTATGACTTAATATTTAACGATTTTTAAAAACTTCGTAACTTTAATATATGATATTAGTAAGAATCGAAGACATGATTAAAAAACGTGCACTTTCCAACAGAAGGCTATTCCATATTCCCCATGTTTAGCGTCTTGTTTTTTGGCCATACCATATACATGTGCCCGGGAAAAAAACAAAATCACGTGATTGTATGACCCCCCCCCCCCCCGGGGACATATGTATATGGTATTTCAACAAATGGTTTTGCCATGATTACTTGAATAGAAATTTGATAAAATTAGGTTGGTCTACAAGAGAGCTACAGTGCCCCCCATTGAAAAGTGTATATTTAGTGCGCACAAAATAATGCGCTGTTTCTCGAATTATTTTTCAGGATATTTAATCTGCCATCTCAAATTAGGATATTTAATCTGCCATCTCAAATTATTTCTAATCGTGTTCCAAAAATAGTTTATTTTATTATTTCCACAAAAAATGTATAAAATATCAAGTATCAAACCGTGCACGAAGTGCGTTCGACCATATTGTCTTGTCATCCAAAATGACATCATAAATAGGCGAAATTTTCGGTGGTCTCGATTTCGTGCGATTGATTAACAATATAGTTTAAAGGAAATTTCTGTTGTGGAAGTAGTAAAAGAATATGTAAGGGACACACGGTTAGTAATAATTTAAATGGCAGCTTATGGAGAAATAAATCGCAGGGACGTAGCATCGTTTTTGAAAGGGGGGAGCAGCCAGAGAAAAAAATTCAACTTACCTGAAAAAACTTGACAAGAAAAAGAAAAAGGGAAATTGTCCAAACACGAAAATCCAATTTCAATTGCTTCGTGCCTGAATCAAGAAACAGCGAACTTTTTGTGCGCAATACATATACAACTTTTTCAATGGGTGGCACTGTATTTCTTTGGACGTTCATCCCAATTTTTTTCAGACCAGTGAGCTACAGATCTTCAGCAAATACACAAGAAGAGTTAACTAAGATACATAATTCTAAATATTGGTTTTTGATTTGAACAAACGGTTTTGCCATGGTTACTATATATATATATATAATTACATGTATATATAAAGTTACTATATATATATATTTGAAATTCTTTCAAAATGTTACTCTTCCTTCAGTTTTTGTCTGATTTCAGAAAGATATGGATCATAAATAGACTGTAATTCCAAGTATCAGATTTTTATTTGGACAATCGGTGTTACTAAATTAGAAATTTCTTTGAAATTTTTTCAAAATGCTACTCTTCTTAAAGTTTTGGTCCGATTTCATGCAGTAAGACTTGGAACACAAGTAGACTATACTAAGATACATAATTCTAAGTATCGGTGTTTGTCTAAGTATTGGTATTGCAATGGTTACACTTTATTAGAAATTAAAAAAAAATGGATTTTTTTTTTTCAAATCCGTACTCTTCCTTCAATTTTGGTCTGATTTCTGTACAACTTGGTACATAGGTAGACTTTATTAAGAAACATGATTCTCTGGATGGTTTTTGATTTTCGACAAGCGATGTTGCCATGTTACAAAAAGTAGACATTTTTGCGAATTTCTTTCAAAACACTACTTCTCTTACAGATTTTGTTCAATTTCAATAAGACTTGGTACACTAGTGAGGCTACTCTAAGATACCTACATGTAATTCTGTTTCTCAAATTTTGATTATGACAAATGGTGTTGCCATGGTTACTTAAAATAAAATTAATATCTGTGTTATTCCTCCTCCTACAGTTTAAATCCAATTTCAGTAATACTTGGTTATCAAGTAGACTTTACTGTATTGGTTTTTGACTTAAACAATCGATGTTGCCATGTGTTAGGAAATTTTTTCAAAACATTATTCCTCCTACAGTTTCGGTCAGATTTCAATAAGACTTGGTACACATTTAGTAGACTATACTAAGATAATCTTTTTTTTTTGTAAGGACAAACCAGTAGAGCAACATTCTCGTCAGAGACTTCTGGTTTCTCTAGAAAAATATCTATTTCCTGGAAAGGTCGAGTG